AGGTACTCGTTGGTCTTCTCATTATAGCTCTGTGAAAAGTTTGATTGATATGTATGCTGCAACTTGCAAGGTGCTTGAGTATCTTAGTGAGCATTCTCCAAATATGAGATCTCGGTCCGAAGCTAGTGGTGTATACAAAAACATGACAACATTTGAATTTGTATTTATCTTGCATTTAATGCGCAAAATATTGGCAATTACAGATGTACTTTGTCAGGCCCTTCAAAAGAAAACTCAAGACATCTTAACTGCTATGAGATTTGTCCATACTACAAAAGGCATCCTTAAAGTATTGAGAGAAGATGGTTGGGAAGAATTTGTTCAAGATGTGGAATTGTTTTGCTCAAAAACTGATATACATATACCTAACTTTGATGGTTCGTACATGGTTGGTCGTTCTTGTGGTCGTGAGTATCCTACCATTGAACTTTATTACCACTTTGATATCTTCAATACAGCCATAGATTTTCAGATGGTGGAGTTAGATACAAGATTTAATGAGACATCATTAGAACTCCTTTCTCTCAGTACGGCTTTGGATCCAAAAACTTCTTTTGAATCATTTAACATGGATAATATTTGCAAGCTTGCAGAGAAGTTTTATCCGGAAGATGTTACGCAGCAAGATATTTATTGATTGAAAATTGAGTTGCAACATTATCAGAATGATGTGATTTCTGAGCCTCGATTTCAAGTGTCTACACTTTCTGATTTATGCCGGGAATTGGTTGCAAGTAGAAGGTCGGAGAGTTACGTCATTTTGACTAAGTTGATTTGTTTAGTACTTACACTATCGGCTTCAACCGCGAGCGTGGAGCGAACATTTTCAGCAATAAAACATGTGAAGAGGGAAATTCGTAACAAATGGTTTTCTGGCCGATTGTTTAACACTAAATATTGAACGAGAATTTAGTATGAATTTAGATCTAGATTCTATTATAGATGAATTTTATGCTATAAAACATCGTCGAGTACAACTGTAATATGTAAAATTATATTACAATTTCTCTTGTTATATATAACTTTTATTCGTACATTAAATTTTAAAAATTTTAGCCCACCGTATCCATTATTTCTGGCTCCGCCCCTGCATAATAGAACAATGCTACAAGTACCCGTGAAATTTCACGGGTTTTTTTGTCAAATATGAAATGTCAACATTGTATTGACCTGTTTTAATCTATTCTTTTCCATCATCCAATTCAAAAATGACACCTCTCTTTATGTGAAACTCCCATGGACGTATGGCTTTTTTCTACTTAGTATGATCATCTTTAATGTTTGAAGTTGTAAACTCTGATAGCATACGATTCTGGCTTCTCATAATTGCCGCACTCCTTTTGTTACCCTCACAAATGTGCATAGAACGGAGAATTTGGGATCCAATAATAGGAGGCGTCATGGTAAAAGAGGTTGGAATGACAACCGGGATATTTTTCTGCACCTATAGTTTTTGGTCTCTATAGATTTTTTGCCTACATGGACAGCACAACTAATGCATTGACTGACAAGTCTCCCTTTTTGTCCATAGAAATTCCTGTACAATAATTCTTCCTAACGTATTCAATTAAATTAATCATGTGATGTTGTATTTAAATATTTTCATGCAATTGTCATCCTCAATAATGACGAATAGCATTATGTAGATTTTGTCTAACTATAGACTAGGCAAAACAAGTATTTAGTCATGGTTTAACAATTATTATCCAAAAACTATTTTTTCTATATACTCATTTTCAACCACATAATCACACAATAAAATATGTGGAAATCACATGGAACCAGAATTTTAAGTTATCATTTCAAAAATCAGATATAAAGTTTGTTTATACAAAAAAAATCAGAAAATTCAATATTAATAATAATATTATAAAATTAAATTTCAAACTCATTTCATTTTCTTCTTTATTCTCTCTCTCTTTCCATTTTCTCTTTACAATTTCTCATACCATTTTTTTTCTCCTTCACCGACCGTCCTCTTCCTTCTTTTACTCTTTGTACAATCTATCCTACCCATTTTCTTCTTCTATTTCATTTTTTTCTTTCACTCTCCTTTCATTGACGGGTGCTAATTGCGACGATGAATCCATTGCCGCTGTGAACGGCAATTGAGTTCGTTGTGCACAGTGGCGTACGCTCTGCTCATCGTTACGCGACGTTTTGAGAGCCGTTGTGCGCGATGGCTAACATGGATTTGTAGTTTGTGGCATTTTTTGTGTAATGGGTTTGTTTGAGGTGGTTTTGTGGTGATTTTTGAGGTGTTTTTGTGGTGGTGGTGGTGGTCACATGTGATGTGCAAGGCACCCACAATCTGACGCGATGATATTGCCGGAGTTGATGTGGTGTGTGGTGGTGGTTTTTGCACAGACTGATAAGACGACGGTGGTCGTGGCGGGTGGTAAAAATAACACTTCTCCTTCAACAACAACGGTACTTGCAAGAATATTTAGAGATATATACAGTACAAATATTCCCATCTATACAACCACTCCTGCCGAGAATAAACTCCACTACATGCCATATGGTGGAAAAACAACACACTAATAATACAAGAAATCGTGTGGTAAAAATAACACTTCTTCAACAAGAATATGAAGACAAAACTTCAAAGCAATTCCTTGTGCAGTCTGAAATAATCCAAAAAGTTTCCAAATGTTGAATGGAAACCGATATCTTGTTCACCAACAATCTGCAATCTTGAGAATAGAGTCCCAGAAAATTGAAAATTTAAAAGACCAGAGCTGCAGTGAGAAGGAAAGAGTACTGTCAATGAGCAGAAGTATGAGCATCCCTGACTAAAGAGCACTTTGCCTGAGCTTAAAAAATAATAAATGCACTAGAAATAATTTGCTTAGTTTCTTTACTTTTTAAGCAAACAAAATTACTCACTTTGAAAATATTGTTACTTTTCTCACACTTTTTAAAACAAAAATAAAAAGTTGATTATTTTAAAACATACATGCATACTTGTAAATTACTCATATTTCATAAGTGAACATTTTAAGCTTAGAAACAAAAACATGCTCACGTGCACATTGCGCACGTGCTTATGGAACATTCAACAGTTTCTGGGGATTTACTTTTTACCTTATTCTTTCTGTATATGTATAGAGAGGATGCACGTTTCAAATATTGTATCGATGAAAGATGTTAACTGGGGATTATTCGTGGATGTCTTCGTTAATTTACAGAAAGGAAGCACAAACATTTCAGGCGCAAGATTTCTAGTGGTATTTGATGATTACATCCATGACTTTCTACCAAGAGCTCATTTGGCTAAGCCTAAGAAGAAGTAAAGTATTTTTTACACATAACATGTCTGAATGACGAACTTTTCTTACTTTTTAAGGTTAAAAATAAAAAGGTTCAATTTTTTCAAAGTAAATCTCAACTTACTGTCAAAATAATGACCCCATTATTTTTAAGTTTGGCATGTAAGAAAGAATGATATATTTCAAAATTTATTTATTTACACATCTAAATTTTCTTTTATCTAAAGCCTCCATTTGACTTCATTTTCAACCACACATTTCAAATGGACCCACAAGTAGTATTCATTTATCATTTCTATTTACTTATAGATTAAACCGTTTATAAATTCTTCCCAAACAAAGGCTAGGTTTACTTATATGTGAACTATAAAGCTTTCTTAGGCAAACAAGCTCTAAGACAGTAGAGACAAAGCATCGCATATGATGGTTAAATTTAGATATAAAATTTACTTGATTTTGGTTACCTTGAAAACTTATTTCTTGAATCCACAGCCCAATATTGTGAGGAGATGCTGAGCCTCAAGATGATGGAAGCGTTCGCTTCACAAAAGGATGGTCCAAAAGCATGGCAGCAGTAGGGCGTGTATTTGGGTTAACTTGTAGACATTGTAGGATAAAATCCTTTGCATTGCTGGAAAGAGATTCGGGAATGGGTGGTCGCTCACCCCTTCCGATCCTAAATAATGCGGGCATCTGTCGTACAGAAAGAATATTCTGTCAAGCTCATTAAGGAAGAATTGCATGATATCTAACAGACATAAACGGTGATAATCATTTATGAGCAATTTCCAGGAAACTCTCAGCCTATGCACTAAATTCCTTATCCAATAGTACTTGTTTGAATAAGCATCTGTACTAATAGGACGTCTTGTCTTCTGCCCTAGAAGAAGAGACTTAATTTGTCACCATTTTCTGCACTTCAAAGCATGTTCAGCTAATAAACTAAAAACAGGTCAAAGTTGCTTCAAATTAATTTTTTGTCTACAAACATATTTCGACAAGTTACTTTTCTTTCTTCTAATAAAACACAAATCACTTACTTTGAGAGTAACTTTTACCTTCCTATCAAAATAAGAAACTTATTCTTAATTTTGATCAACAAAAGAATATTTATTTTACACTCATTCAATTATAAGCTTAGCTAAAAATTAGGAGTGCACAATGATCTTTGTCAACTTCCAGGTGTAACATCATGACAAGATTCTATCTGAAGTTGATCAAATTTCGAAAAAAATCGCATTTTTTGGGTTGATAGAAGTGGAAAATAAACATTCATGAGGAGGTTATCCTTTACCCTTCTTTCCCATCGAGAATTTATTTCTCATATTATGAAAATGAACCAATGCAAAATAGATAATGTCAGGACAACCCATCAAATAAGAATGATCGATCACAGAAATGAAATGTCTTGTGTATTCTGTACATATACCTGAGTCTTTAGGGTGTCCGAATTTATTATTGTTTGAAAACATGGTAATACACTTTGGACAATTCAGCATTTTGGTCTGTCATCAGAGAACATCCCAAAAGGTTTTTAACGAGAATATATTTTCAGTATATAAAGAGGATAACGAACAACCTTCAGAAAAAGCTGATAAAATTAATTTAGGCAAATTTACAAAACACACCCAGTATATACGGTGACATGCCTTGTTTTATAAATTTAAATTTTACACAATACTTTTTGCAAAATAGTTACAAAAAGTACCCTTTTGATGAAAATTTTACAAATATCCAATTATAAATAGTTGAACAGACAAAAACACCTTTAATCGAAATAACACATCACACCACACCATATATACCACCTTATTTAAGGTTTTGCATACTATTTTCTAATTATTGATTTTTCATCACATGTTTTTTGTTTCTAGGATGATTATTTGTGTATGAGATTTATAAAATTTATCATCTTCTTTTTCTAAACTCTAACATGACATGAATAAAAATTAATTTTAGTAAGCTAATAAAATATTGAAAAATTTAGAAAATACTTCATTTAATTTACAATATTGTTAAAACAAATAAAAATTGTTATTTGCTGTCTTCTAATTAATAATTTTTGTTCAATGACTAAAAATAAAAACAATCAATTAAAATCAGTTTTCTATTCATTTAAAGTTGGGGTAACTTTGCAACCTAAAAAGTTGTTAACTAACTAGAAAAAATATTATGTAAATTTGCAATGAGAAGACTCGAGTGAAAAAATAATGAACGAGAAAGAAAAAACAATGAATTTATTGATATAAAATTTTGAAATTAAAATATGAAAATTGATATTACAAAATTGAAACTCAAAATTGAAATGGTAAAATTCTAAAAGAAAGAAAGCTTTAAAAATTACAAGGATAATTTTAAAAAGAAAGCTTTAAAAATTACAAGGATAATTTTAAAAACTTTCTTGAAGCGTAGTATCTTCAGCTCTATTATACTTGAGGAGGCTTCCATCTTGATTCTTCTTTTATAATTGAAATTTTGAACATGGACTTGCAACCAAATTAATTTTGGTTAAAGAGTCTTGAAAAGCAACCACTTTGAGATGACAACCACGTTTGACATTAATTGAGCATCTTTTGGCGTCGTTTAATAATTAAACCCCCTTTTGTAGCAATTTTTGATAATTGAACCATCAATTTTCCATTTCTCCCGATTTCTAGAATTCCACCTTAGTAAAGTTACTAAAATTCGAAGTCCTTTTTTTTAAAATTCGCATAGGGAGTAAAAATAATCGATTTGGTAACATACACGTCTTGAAAAGGGTTTTTTTTTTTTGAACTATATATTCTCTTAATTCATCAAGATAACTGGGTTCATACAGTTATTTTGAAAGAGTGTTCTTTCGAGTTTCTTCTTTAATTAATTCATCAATATTTTCTAAACCAAAGCACATGTCTTTGTTGCTTTGTTCATAATATGATGAATCTGCTTCACAAGAATTTACTTTTGAGTTCTTTGAATCTGATTTCTTTGCCAAAGATTCTGCCAAATCAGCAATTCTTTCTAAAACGGCAATTTTATCTAGTTCTTCTGGAGTTTTGCATTGGTTGAACATTGCCAATAACCTTGATTTTTCAAAATTTGACTATCCCAAAGGTAAATAAAAGTTCTATCTATAAGATAGGAAAATTTAATGTTACTCAAAATTATGTTATCAAAACTTTGGAGCAAACTATGCCTATTAAGGAACATATTACTTCAATCAATTTACTTTCAAAAGATTCTATTCAAGCTCATCGCAAGAAGATTAATCTTTTTTCAAAAGAAACTATACAAGCTCACTGGAAGAATTTTAAATATCTTCATGTTGTATTTGTTTAAATTGCAGTCAAACCTCTGTTTAGACTTGTTCTAGACATTCCAATTCTTATAACCTTAAGAGACGAGACTTTTAAGGTTTGAACATTTATTACTTTCTATCCTCCAGCCTAATCTCAATAGTGGTCCAGTATTTTCAAATTATTATCCAAACTTTTCAATTAATCTTCAAGATGGAGCTATTCTCAAAGCTTTTAATCTTCAAATTCAAACAAAAAATTTTGATGATGATGATTGTTCAAAAGCTTTTGCTTTAATATATCAAATATGTTATAAGCTTTTGAATACTCAACTCAATATTCGAACTCTCAGATCTTCTCCAAGAGATAAAAGTCTTTTAGTCGAAGTTAATCCACTTCATTCAAATGTTATTCCCAAACAAATTCCATGAAATCTTCAAGCTAAGAGGACTAGAATAAGATTTTGAACATGCTCAAAACCCAATTCCAGCCCCTGTAAGAAGAGTTCCTGATCAAATTATTTCATTTTCTGATGGAAATGTTAAAATTATTTTTGAAAAACATTCTTCTTCAAGCACTTTTCAAAGATCTTATTCATCTAGATCTGATAATAGATCTAAAAATATTTTTCAATCTTCAAGGTTTTCAGTATCTTCTTTAAAAAAAGTTGATTTCAATCATAATATTCCAAAAATTAATTATCAAACTGATAAAGAAGTTGAACAACCCGATTCTCCAACTTTATCTGATATGGCACCACTTTCAGAGAGGCTAGATCGGTAGTGTAATGTTATTTCCTCTATTATTGATAGAAGAAATGGATTCATGGTTTATAAACCCTTGAAATAAAAAATTTTTGAAAAATATTTCAAAAAAGTTTTTCACAAAAAGAAATAGAATCTTACTGGGAAGAATTTGAAGTTTTTCCAGAAGATTTAGGGTCTATTCTCTTTATTGTTTTCTAATCATCTTCAATTTTCAAAAACACTGAAAACACGTTTATTTACCTATTTTCATAAACGAATTTCAAAAAACGAGTTTAAAATTTACAAAGAAAATGAAAAACACCAAAAAATCGTTTTGGCTATTTTCAGTTAAAACCAAGATAAAACTTCATTTTTTTATTTTTGAAAACAATTTTTCAAAATGACAAAAAGAACTCGTTTTTAGCAATCTCAAAATGGATACTAAAAACACAAAACTCAAAATGAATTCAAAACTAAAACTAAAACACGAAGAGAACCCCTTAAATTTTTATGAGTAGACATATTTCAAAGAATCAAAAATTATTCAAAATACAAATTCATAAAACGAAATAGTATTGAACTTTTGGAGACTTAAGAAAAAGGTTAAACTTGGTATGTAAAGTGTTGCATAATGTAATACAAATGGATTTGTTATTTTTAATTAGGGGTATTTTGGTCTATTTAACTCTTTTTAACGGCAAATTTGTAATTTTTTAAGCAAAAGTTGGTTTTTGTTACCATTACATAAAATGTATCCTGTAAAGCATAAATTTAGACAATACAGTATGTAAACTATAAATATACCCTATACAGGATGTATTTTGCAGATTTTCCTTAATTTTAAAACTGGAAAAGCAAATTGCTTTCACTTACACATTCCAGATTGAAGTAAGGAAAACGCCGTGTTAGCATCTCTAGGACAGTGCACCCAAGGCTCCATATATCTGCTGCATGCCCATATCCCCGGCTCCTAACAACCTGCCCATAAATTGATAATAATCAATAAAAAGGTAAAAATGAACATCTCCATAACAGAAATGTAGCAAATAGTTACGTCCATAAAATCAATGTATGGACCGGACCATCAAGGAACACAAGGATGGCACAAGCAAAAGCCTTGTACAAGTTGATGGATGGAACAATCAGAACAAGCTCAAAATACATAAAATCAGAAACCTTGTATTTAACTTCTTGTGCAACTTAAATCTGGAAAAAGAGAGTCAAGGCAAACCTCAGGAGCCATCCAGAACGCAGTTCCCTTGCAAGATTTCACATCATTTAATTTTGTAGCCTGAAAAACGCATTAACCACAAATGATTAGAAACAATAACAGTAACAATTGATTTCAACTATCTCCAAAACTACGGAAGACAAAAAGGCATTGTAATCAGAAAAAGAGAGGGGAGATGAGCAGGTTGGACCTTTGCAAGGCCGAAATCTGCAAGTTTGACTGATCCATTTGCATCCACCAATATATTTGCGCACTTGATATCTCTGTGAGAGGTGAGGAAAGATTACAAGACTTTAGCATCATCAAGTTTTCTAAACTTAAAAAATGGTTAATTCATTTCCATATCAACTCATTCAACATTGAGGAAAGTAAAGTTTTGGAACTCCATAAATCGTTTATTGGGAATTAGTATAGATCATAAAAAAAACCCAAAAAAAAAAGGATTACACATGGTTGTTTAATCACCTGTGTACCACATCTTTGTCATGCAGATATTTCAAACCATGTAAAATCTGTCTGGTATAAAAAGAGACCTGGGAATCTTGAAGGTTATACTTCTGGTAAAGGCTCAAAAGGGAGCCTTTAGTAACAAGCTCGAGAAAGATATAAAGATTTGATTCATCCTGCAAAAGAAGGCAAAGAATTGCTTGCATTTCAATGTAATTTCTGCAAGATACAAATTATACAAGAGTTTGCAAGGGATGATACTCAGAATCTAACACATTAACAAGAAATTGAAGAATAGAAAGAATCTTAAGATGGCATTTGACGTTGAAAAATGCAAAATCAGGAGAGAACTTCAGCAAATGAAAGAACACCAACACCAAAGAAAGGAAGAGAAAAAACAAAAAAACAGCCAAGAATAAATACCTTTGTAGCACCATAATACTGGACTATATTTTCATGTTTAAACTGACTGAGAAGATCAATTTCCTGAACAAATCAGATGAAATTTAATAAAAAAACACATGAACAAATCAAATGAAATTAGAAAAGAAACGACAAAGGAGTTAAAAATGAGGTCAAGAATATTGATTCGAGACAGTTACAGAAACTTGAAGGCAGAAATCTTAAAAGTACACATGATAGCAACAGAGCTATGAACAAAAAAAAAAAACCTCTGCTTGACCTGCTCAAGTTGGACGATACTTTGCTTTCCCTCCTCCCCTTGATCAAGCAAAGAAACTTCCTTGACAGCAAAAAAGATTCCACGGCTGAAACAAAGAAAATTTATGATAGGGTTAGCAAATCATAACACACATAAAATGTGTTTCAGATCCACCATATCGTGTAAACTGACAACATCCACAATATTGCGCTACACATAATTATGATAAAATAATATATCATGTTACGGGTTTTTCCAAGTCATCCCCCACGCAACTGAATACGACCGCCACATGGCGGATGAACTCATTTCGTTTCGCTATGCGGCAAACATTTCATCCGCCAGCCCGACGGATGCTAAGGCCCACACTCCGTATCATTTCGTCACAACTGAAACTAAGTTCGAAGTGATGACATCCAAAACGCGATTATCACTCCTGCCACAACTGCTCCACTTCAACCATATGTACTAGAAGATCTTTTATGGAAAGATCTCAAGAACCAAATCTTTAGGACCGATTGATGGGACGTATGGCAAACTCCAAAATGTCAAATCACGCCTTACAGTCAGGGAGTATTAAATGAATCGTCTATCTATGGATTGATAGATTGACAACTACGAGAGGATGGTCCGCCCTAGATTCGAGACCACGTGTTCTATATCCAACGGTTCTTCTCTTATTCCCTTTCACTATAAATACTCACACTTGCACTATAGAAAGGGGTTGGTCCCTCAAAAGAGAGAAAAAAGGAGACACTTTTACATTATCTGTCCACACACGTCATCATTAAAACAAAAACCACGTTCTGGTGACCACCACCACCGAACGTCCCAATTCCGATTTATCAACTCACTAACTTGACCGTCGGAGTGCTAACGGCCGCTTCAACCCCTACCGAAAAAGGCCAGGAGCGACTAACGGTATGTTACTACATGCAGGAAGGAGCTCACGTAGAAGTATTCTGTTGGCCACGTTTTTGGGCCATTTTTCAGGGTCAAACATTTCCTTTTCTATATTTGAACTCTTACATACATACACGTTTGATGGACAGGCAATATAATAACTTCGGGAAAGAATGAAGTGGCGAAGGGAAAACAAAATAACAGGCACTTAAGTAAAACAAGTGGCAGAAAAATCTCTGAGAGAGACTAGAATAGAATTCTTCACATATGAAAGATTTGGCAAATAAAACTTGAGCAAGAACGTTCACCTCCTCATACTTCCTTCCTCACTCACAGGCTCTCACACATACATAGAGACTTATACAGAAAAATCTATATACACTACACATTCCGAATGCCAACATTACCATGCCTCTACACTCAGTGATATAGTCACAAGATTTCTTAAAGCTGTAATCAACATTATCAAACGATGTTGTGATATTTTTAGTTATAACAAACAACACGACCTAACCCCATGTCCTATAAACTCGGTCAAAAGCGGTAAAAAAAAACCAAAAGCATTTGAAGGTATAATACTATTGTCACCAGAAAGATCTTAATGGAATGTATTAAATTAATGAAAGAACGAAAGTTATTCCTGTAGATCACGTAAACCTAAGTATACATGAAGCCCAGCAACACATTATATGAAGTTACAAACTTCTCGAATTAGCAGAAAATATTATTGAAGTCATCAAGATGTTAAGAAATTAGAAGTTCAAACTAATTATTAAATAAAAACATCTTTTTTAAGATTTGACCCTCTGACCACATGGGCAAGGTGGGTTCAACTAAAAGCAATGGAATTTCTTAATTTTTATTGGAAGAACTTAAGATTTCCATCGGTGAGATCGCTTAAACCCATAGCTATGAGTGGCTCTACCACTCTACCTGTGTTCTTATGCAGAATGCATTGAATACATTCTCCTGGTCCCAAGCCATGATGTCAAACATTCCATGACAACTATTAATAATAGTGCTGTGGATACCAGCAGGAGTATCTCTCGGGCCCAGGATATTTAATCATAAAAGCATTTCACTGGGAATTATGCATATATAGTTTCATGTTAAGCCACTTTATAGAAGCTCACTAATAATAGGTTTTGGCAAGTAAACATCGACGTATGCTTTAGTTAATATTGATCTAAGATGTATGGATAGAGAGAATTTCAAATTTTGAATCTATTGGGTGAAGGAGAAGAATAGAAATTTCCAGACAGCTAGGAAAAGCTTTGAAGCCCTGTAACCCTCCATGTCTCATTTAGCAAGACACATTCAGCATATAGGATTTAAAAAGTGCTCCTATTGCATCAAAGATTCTAGAAAGGGTAGGAATTTTTAGTCCAGATCCTCCCGAACACAACAACATCCATCCAACAACAATTTGAATGATCTATGGAACACTTAGAAATATATATTTAGAAAAACTTTAATCAGAAGAAACCATGGTTGCTTTCGTGACAAGTCAATTGTAAAGTCAGAGCATCAATACTGCAACTAGTTTTGTATCGGTAACTTATCTCTGGTGACCTATACGCATAGTTCCTAACAAAAATACTAGTGATATCTCTACTCTCATCTAAATCGTTCTCCCTCCTTTTATTTCATTTTCCCTTAAAGTTTTGAAATGGTTTCTAAACCAAAAGCCATTCATTTCTAATAGCATGTACACGTGCATACGCACTAGTCACTAATCTTTCAACCAAGCTCTTGACCTTTACCACTTATGAAAAAATTGATTATAACAATAAATAAAGAAAGAGTATGAACAAAAAAAATCTACACATTTACTATCAGCACAGGTACTTTTCTAGATGCAATCAAAACTTGTAACAGCTAAAATGAAATGAAAACCCTTAGTAAGGTAATCCCTTCCACAGAAAATTTCAGGAAACAATTTATACTGCAACCATAAGGCATGGGTGACATAGAAAAGTGATCAATAACAAAAATTATGATTATATCTGCCAAAAAATAGCACTTACTCAGAAATTCCTTCATACACAGATCCGAATGATCCACGACCCAAGAGCTCACCCTTCTGCCAATCCATAATAAAGCATCTAAATCTCCCGTTGGGTGAAATATTAGATGTGGGCTCCGTCATAGTACTTGAAGAATCATCATCGTTCGAAGTTGTAAAGGAAGGCGACACTGATAGCATGCCATTCTCCCTTCTCATAACTATACTTCTCATATTATCCTCCTCTCCATCTTCCTCTTGCTCCTCATTCCTCCTACCCCTCTGCTCATCTTTACCTTCCTCCAAACTAACCAAGAACTCAGAAACTCTTTCACCTTCGAAGGGCAACTCCCGAGTTGAGCATGTGTTTTCTATCACCAGCAATGTCAGTGCAGGCACTGGCGACAGAACGGGTGGCCGCACACCCTTAATACCATTTCCACGAAATTCATTCAATACACTACTTACATTTTCACTCGAAATTTCATTACCTACCATTGCACTATCTCCTAACCTCGCTGCTAATTCTTCGACGCCACCTCTGACTCGAGAGTTGCCACTAAAACTCTCATTTTTCTCACTAATAACTGCGTCACTTATCCTACTACCAACATCGTCAGTAATTCCATCATCAATATTACTGGTATCAAATTTAATTTTCCGATTAAATATAAGAGGAGCAGAAGAGGATCGGACCTTCCTGCTCTCATATTCCGCCGGTGATAACCCCAAATCATCTATTCCAGAAACCCCCAACGCATTGCAGATAATTTCAATTTCACCATCAATCCCGTTGATGCGAAAGCTCTTCTTGTCACTGTACAATTCAAGCGACCGAGTACGCAGCGAAGAGTCCTCCGATGAGTAGTACGATGAAGTCGATGATGAGGGCGAAGAGGGACATAACTCGTAATTGATGTTTTTATTGGCGTTCCGGCGCTCAAGTCTAGGCGGCGGCTTCTGCTTAGCGGCTGCTTTGCGGCGGCTTCCACCAGAACTGGAGCTGGAATCCATGCTGGTTTTACTTCTCATTGAGCTATGATTTAAGAATTTCTGTATTTGAAGAATTATGATAGGAATCTAAATCCATGAATTGAAAGGAAAAAAACACCTTAATTTGAGATTATAGGCTGAGAAGTTGGGCAGATAAGGCGGAGCATAGTAATAGGAGGCGTCGGAGAGAGACAATGGAGAGCGAAGTTGCAGTCACCACTTTGATATTTTCTATCCCTTCTCCCACGGTTTCTCCACGGATATAGCATTTGCTTGAAATTTATTTTATTTTTTTCAAATAATTTTTTACTATTAGCAGATAAAATCACCAAATAATAATTGAACCAAATCCAACCATTCGATTCAACCAAATCCAACCAAATAATAATAATCTGAATTTGCTGAATATTTGATATTTATTTATTTTTTATTTATGTATATATTAATAACTTGTAGATATGATAATATATTTTAATTTGCATTTATCATTTAAAAATGAAATCATAATCGAATTGGTCGATTTCGATTTAGATCCATATCTTCAAAAAAATCATTAGTTCATCCCTACTACCAATTCTTTAAAAAATTACTTTTTTCGATTCTTCATAATTTGAGTGATTAATTAATTGACATGTTATTAATAGCATGTTCGAGCCCCATTTTTGGCTAACAATGAATTTTAAAACAATAAATTGATGAAAAATGTGTGATTAAAAAATAAATGAAAATTTTAGATTTACTTATAATATTATTAGTGTTCGGCCCATTTTGGGAAAATACTGAAAAATGATATTTTCGTGTAAAAGTAACGGTCATTGTCTGTGCCAACGTGTAGGGCCTACAATTGAAGACTGAAGTACATGAATTGTTCAATGAAACTTTGGTAATAATTTCTAGTTGTAAAGACCGAAATCTGAAATGGGATCACAGGAATTGGGATTTTTAGTTGCTTTCTCTTGCAAAAAAAGGTTTTAACTTTTACCCACTTTTTAGTTGAAAAACCAACTTATTTTGTGAATCTTGTGAACCGTTGTTATACTTCATACAAATGTGGTATTCTTGGTCTGCAACTTGGAAAAGTCTACATGTACATAATAGTGTCCATAATATGATATGAACAAAGTCATATCGTTGATATGAAAATGTGAGATTTGAATTACTGGTTGGATCCAGTGCCACGTGTAATTATGAACATCATTATGTATAAATTTATGTACAATGAACAAAATTCAGTTGTTGATGTGAAAGTGTGATATTTGAATTAATAGTTGAATTCAGTGCCACGTGTAATTATGAACTTCATTATGTATAAATTTATGTACATGTAACACTTCTCCTCCTGTAACTTATCTTTCTAGCAGTATATTTTTAACCTTTTAGTTTTAGTTATTTGAAATAGTGATTAATACGAGAATGTGTAGTTGAAAAATAACGAAAAAATTTAGATTTGTGTGTAATATTATTTTATTTAAAAAATGTGTGGTTAAAATTAAAAAAGAGAAAAATTAAAAAAAAAAAATAACGGGGGCCAAACACTAACATCATTTTATTGAAGAATGTGTAGTTGAAAAGAAAAGAAAGAAAAATATATTTTGGAAATAATGTGGATCAAACAAGGACTAAGACTAGCTTTTGAACTATTTTTTCAGTTGAATTGTTGTTCTGGTATGATATTTTGCATATGTTTGAGCTTCAATTTTTTCAAATTTTTTTAAACTCATTTTCAGACATATATTCTCCCATAAAATAATTTTATACGTAAATTCAAAAAATTTCTCTATTTTTAATTACACCTTTCAAAATATCACTATTCCAAAATTTATTTTTTCCCAAAAAAATAGGCTCAAGCAGAGCATATTAATTTTATTTTATGTTAAATAACTTTAATTTAATTAATTAGAAAATATTAAAAGTTAAAACCGGAACAAACGTAAAGGGTTATCTAATAAAATAACTAACAGCAATTAATGACAATTTTAATTGGATTAAAAGATTAAAATAATAACAAGAAAAAAAATTATTTGAAATTTTCAGTAATATTGACGTCATGAAGTCAAGCCGTGCGTGGGAATTACGTGCCGCTTTTGCAGTGGTTGACCAATCGTTGGCCACAATTCAACCCCTTTCATAACACAATCTTACTTGGCTCCTGTTTGGGTTTGATTAAAAAGAGATTTTGAAGAAAAAAAATGCCTTAAAATAAAGATTATTTGAAGAATGTTTTTTTTTAAAAAAATGATTTTTTTTTTTTGAGTTGACGTGTAATATCATTTTACAGAAAATTATAGGAATGAAAACGATTTTAAGAAAAATGTATTTTTGAAAAAATTGAGCCTTAATAGGGACTTATTTCATTCTTTAGAATTCATTTTTTTTATAAATTTATTTCTAATAATATATTTTATCGAGTAAAATAATTTAACAATTAAATCAATTTTTTCCTACTTTTTAATAACAAATTTATTTAAAAATAATATTTTTCACAAAATTTATTCACAAAGAATCTAGAGTAAGTAAGACGAATACTCTGATGTACAAAGATGTTATGAAATATCGTATTGATTACGCTCAATGTTGATAGAGCTACTCAACCACCAACCCAACCTCCTTATACGCATTGAATTAAAACTCATTTTATGCATTTGCTATTATTTTTGTGGTGGGCTTTCACACACATTATTGTGTAAGATTTTGACAATTTAAACAATAACCTAATAACATTAGCATTCACATTTATCTTTCGCAATAATTAATTTCTCTACTAGTTTGAATTGTAGACTAAACATAACTAATCATAATAACAAGGAATATATATGTTTTAGGAGAGCGATAGAAAATTTAAAAAAAAAGTGCTGAACATTTAAAAAAGTTTAGAAAATTCAAAAAATGACAAACACTAAAAAAAGTGACAAAAATTAAGAAAGTACCAGAAAATTAAAAGAAAAAGTGACAGAAAATAAAAAATTTGATAGCACTTAAAAAAGTAACACAAATTCAAAAAAAAAAAAAATGAAGGAAAAAAAGGACAAACACCCAAAAAAATAACAGAAATTTTTTAAAAGCAACAAAATTCCAAAAGGTAACATACACGCAAAAAAGTAACACAAATTCAAAGGAAAAAAAGACAAACATTAAAAAAAGTGATAGAAATTCAAAAAAATAAAATAAAAAAAGTGACAGAAATAGTATGATAGTGACACATATTTAATGTTCTCGATTCGGATACCCGTTCGGGTATTTCATTTAAAAAAAACCCGCTCGATTCGGTTCGGACATTTTGCCTAGCCCTAATTTAACATTTTCTTTTCAAGTTAGACTTTCATATCTACTTCTCTCCTTTGTAAGTATGGGAATTATTGACTTCTATATGGTGTGAATTATAAAGTATATTCCATAAAGATCTTAAAATTATGTTTATAGCCATTGAGGTGTACAATTTATATAAGGCCCGACCATTCACAACATCAGGCTCGAGGTCATAACCTCAAGTACTCCTCTTGAGCCTGAACATCATTGGGCTTGTATGGTCTGGCTTGGCCTCAGGCTTGAGGCTCTTTTGTTATAATTTTTCAATACTATCATGCCAAGAATAAGAATCACATATAATTGATAGTTCGAGATTCATACATGCGGAAAACATTGCTATGTATGAATATTATCAGCTAGATCTTCATCTCCTTGCTCCTCAAAATAAT